GGTCTATCAGCTACTTCCCTTTTAAGGCTGTAGGAAGCCTAGATTTCACTATGTCTATGCAAATCTGATATATATAGGCTTCTAGTGCAGATGCTGGAGCCTATTTCATATTAGTAAAAACAGGAGTTGTCATACTAGAAACATGCATAATAATGCAAAACCCTCATTCAACCCATTCTTCCTTCCCTGCCTTTGATATCCAAGTCTACATGTTGACCTCAAAGTCAGAAGATACATTTTGAGGCCAATATTTTATATTTAGGATTGTGCTATAATCACTAAAAAGCTGAGATGTGCTATAATTTGTAGGTAGCATGGATTATGTTATCATAAATGCATACTGTACTTTCCAAAAGGTATCAGCAAGATAATGTAGACATGTACCCCATATCCAACTGCACCAAACTGTCCATTTTTGGTTACACTACGTACATTTAACCAAATCACATTTCTTCTGGGACAACTGAGAAGATGATGTTCCTTGTGTCTTCTTTTAAAACCAGTAAGAGATGTCACCAGATCCTTCTATTCTAGCAGTGCATTAGTCATCCAGGCATCCATAATAGCAGGAAGGAAAAAAAGTGGTGGACTGATATACATGACCACTTACTTATACTTCTCAGATTTCCATACTTTATGCTTCTGACAGTCTCTCCTTAAAGTGATGCTTTCAGTACCATTCAATACTTCATCAAAGTAAACATTGGAATTCATCCATTATATTGCACATTTTTTCATAGTTTTACACTTGGAATGAAATATCAACATTTGTAATACTGGTTTGGCATTTGTGGATCTGCCATCATATGGTTTAGCCACAATACCTATGAAAGGCTATAGTCCTGGAGTTAAACGTTCTTGAAAATTGAAGTATGATATTACAGTGCACCAAGATTGTAGAGCAGAAAGATTTCTTTGGTCTTCAAATCCAGGTAATCAGTACATAACATTTTCTTGTACCTTGAGGCATAAAAACTTAATTGCAGCTGATGGTAATTGCCAAATCTTATTCCTTTTTTTATTTGCTACAGGAAACTTTCCTCTACCTCATGAGGCTGTTCAGCTTGCTGAATATCACTCTCCACCTCTTGTTCTGGCTGTCTCAGAGGACTGTCACAGGAGATTGTAGATGACGTATTTCCTTCTTGCAGCGTAGAACTGTGTGATAAATCAAAAAGAAAAAAAATGGTCTAATTTGCAATAAACTGGCCACACAAAGATGTTTTTGTCCTAAAAACAAATTATAATCATAATGAGTGTTGCAATATTTCAGTTCTCTGCATTTTTATTTAGACTCTAGGGAGAGTCAGAAAACATATTTCCCTGTTTTATACATGCTGGAGAGTTTTTGAGATATTTCTCAGGAACTCTAGTAACAAGATATCTGCTCCTGAATTCCTGGACCTGCACGCCTGATGTGCTCACTACTGTTGTTGGATTTTCATTTATTTTATATCATGGACAAGGAGCTAAAACACACAAAGGTAGGCAGGAACAGCCTAAACATTGAGGTGGGAAGAAAACAGCCAGGAATTATGGCAGAAATAACCACTGTTGGAGAATCCAAGACCCATATAAAATCAGGAGCTCACTTAGTCCAAAGGGTTTCATTAAAAACTAAATGTATTACTTTAACCCCTTCACACCTAAGGGTAAAACAAAATCTTAAAGCCTAAGTAAAATTTTACAACTTTGATATGTGGTAGTAAAACCATACAAATCATCACAACTACTTTGTACTCCAGGTGAATTATACCTTGTTTATTCAGGACAAATTGGCTTTCATTTGTTGGTAAATGGTAATGATATCTCTGATTTTGTTTTTCATTTTCAAAGGAAAACTGGCCAAAAAAAGTAAAAAAAATTTTTTTTTTAAAATTTAGCTATGTGTTTCTTGTTACTACCATAACCATAACCTACCAACAAAGAACAACCCAAAATAAAATGTTCAGCTTTTGATGATCGCAGCGACACCATATATGTGTATGTAATTTGTTGTTTGTACCTATACTACAGCCCAGAAACAATAGTGCATATTTTGTTTTGTTTTTTTACCTAAAACACACTGACACTGACATAACTTACACTGATACCAATTTTAAAAAAATATATAAAAAATTAAAACAATTCTGACCCTTGACCCTGACCTTTGACCCTGACCTTGACCCAAACACTAACCCTGTCACTGAACTAGATCAAACCTTGATCTAGGCATTTTCTTTATTTTTTATTTCATTTTTTAATATTTATTTATTTATCTTTTTTTACAAACATTTTTTTTCTCTCTGCAAGGAGAGAGAGAGAGAGAGAGAGAGAGAAACAATGTATCTCTCTCTTCCATGGAGAGAGAAAAAAACCAAGGGGAGCGGGCTTCACAGTGACTGATCACTGAGATAGCCAATCAGAGCCTATCACAGCGATCATGTGACCCAAAATCAGGAGTCCTGGGTCCCGATCGTTAAAACGGGACCTGGGACTCTCAGTGACACCGGGCGCGCTCCCAGCACAAAGACAGGTACACAAATATGCAGCCCCACGGAAAAAAGCCCAGTTCTGTGAGGCCCCATATTTGTGTGACGTCGGCGTGAAGGGGTTAAAGAAGATTTTCAGCCTAGTGACAAAAAAATTAAAAGTCAGAAGCTAGAAATGCTGTAGTTGCTGACTTTTAATAAAAGAACACTTACCTGTCCAAGGATCCAGCACTATCCTCACCCAGGTCGGTTCTTCACCGGTCTTCTGGTCCCCGGTACTTTAGTGTGGGAAGCCGGCTTGGACTCTGCACATGCGTGAGCCACACTGTGCTTTGCAAATGGTCCTGCAGTCTTCTGGGACCTGTGATGTGTCACGAGAGGTTGCGGGCAGAGAGGGGGACCAAGTACCTATCAAAACTAAGTACCCGCTCCCCCCAAAAAATGTCATGTGCCAAAATTTGTGAAGGGAGGGAGGACGCAGAAAAGGAGAACTTCCCCTTCTGGGTGAAGTTCCAAAGTAAGATGAACTGACCCTTTAAGCATTGGGGTTGTAGAAGAATTATATAGCCCTGTAGGCAGGTGTCCTCTGCGAGATGCCAAAATGAACCTCCGGTTCACCCAAAACCATATAATTAGGATTTACACATAAACTGGCAGATGCTTCATAAATATGATATATCTACTGACCCAGATAGTTTAGTTGCTAGCATCTCAGAGCTGCTTTTATTTCACACAGGAACTAGTTTTTTTTTTCAGCACTGATATGAGCACAAAATGGCCTGATGCTTTCGGTAATGACAGGTTAAGTATGGTTTTGAATGGGTCAACATTATTTGAGGTTTCAGTTCAGTACACAGGAAGTTATAAGGACTGTGAATTTTTGGCGAGAACAACAGATATGTTTTTACTCACAGAAAATGTACTAGCTTAAAAAAAAGGAAAGCTAATGCAGCCACCACATCTAAGGACTGGTAAACTGCAATATACTGCATTTTTTTTTTTGTTTTTGCATTTAGATACTTTAGGTACACTCCAGTCAAAACTATAGATTAGACCATGAAATGCTATATGTTCACCCTTTTTTCTTTGGGTTTAAGTTATTCATTCACAATATCGGAAACCCCTTTTTCTTATACAGTCTGTTTGTAATGCTGGAGAAAAACAGCCTTAAACACACCCATTGCAGACTTTTTGTTATCTCTGACATACAACAAGCCTGTTGTATCAAACTGTCATTATTTTAAAAAAAAGTTCCTTGTATCAAACTGTCGTTACTAAAAAAAGTTCCTTATGGACACCAATTAGATTACAACCTGCCTTGGAAATATGAATTTAACTGGCACTTTCAATGATAATGGTAAAGGGGACAAACAGAGAGGGTGAATCTCCCTAATGGGGGTACAAACTGCAATAGTTCTAATCCATCTCCACTCCACCTTTAGTGGAGTTACCTTTTGCCAGGTATTCATTTTAACAAAAATATTCCAATTAGGTTATATATGTATTTAAAATCTATTTTGCATGTCATTTAAGTCTCAGAGCTCCAACAGCCCTGAGACTGCAGCTGCTTTTGGAAGTGATGTTAGCAGCAGGGCTGCTGTTAGAAACCACATGTCCCCATACAGCCAACCTGACAAGCCCCCTTTAAAAAAAAAAAACAAAAAAAAAAAAAACAACAGTTTACAGTGCTTCAGTTATGAATGAACACAGTGAGTGATCAGTACAGATCACTCATTGTGTTCATTCAGGAAAGAAATGGTCTGATAAATGTGGCATATTTATCAAACCCTTCCCCCACTCTCCAACCTGAAGGATCCTATTGTGTACTTGCAGCTGCCGGTGGGGGGGGGGGGGGGGGGGGGAGCCGGCACTGTGGGGGCCCAGGCAGCTGGGTGAATCAGATGTGCACATGGAGGATAATCGGCATGGTGGGCGGGGCAATTACTGGGACCGATCCCCTGTATGGCTCTCTCTGCAGCAGCTGAAAACCAGAGAGGGAGAGGTGAAGAACACAGCTTTCAGATGCAGCAGAGAGAGTCATACAGGGGATTGGTTCCAGTAATTGCCCCCCCACTGCTCCGATCACCCTCCCTGCTCACATCCAATTCACCCAGCTGCCTGGGCCCCGTACAGGAGGACTGGTGGTAACCCCTTGTCCATGGCCCTGGTCAGCAGCCCCAACAGACTCAGGCCTGTCAATCTATAGTACTCCATGTCCCTCCTCCACTGGCAGCTACATCAAAGGTTATGTAGGAATGTGAAGGAAGGGGTAGAGGAGCTGGGCCAGCACAGAATGCATTTAAACACTCCAAGAAGAAGGGAGGGATATGACATTCAAAGGAGGAGAGGGTTGTTCTAAGGAATTGACTATTACTGCAGAAGAGTGTCTTTACCTGGAATTTTTTTAAGTTGTTACAAGGTGATTAGGATTATGAATCCTCTTACCTTGGACGACTCTCCGAATTCTCATTAAGCATGTTATCTGACTCTTCAGGTTTGGGATCAGGCAGAGGAATAATATAGTCGCTGTCATTTGGTTGCACGGGCTGAATACAAAATATTTGTAATGCTTTCTCCCCCGTTATTCATTTTTGCCATTCTGGGTCTGACACGAACAACAGCGGGGTGGTCGCTTCTTAAAAACTCTTCATTCACTTGTTTGTATCTCTGCAAAAGACATCATGGGAACATTTATTCTACTCCCTGTCATTCAGTCAATACCTCTTATGCCCATTAAATACAATTGATTAATACTTAAACAACCATTTTAGAACTGCCTAGGAATATTTGCTTAACTTTCCCTATAGGGTAATTAAAAAAAAAGATTTGTAGTGCAAAAAAAGGAGGCATTTTACTTAACTTATTGATTTTTTTTAAAATGCAGCTGCTTTGGTGCTTCCAGTTGTGTGAATAGCTGCTCCTACTGCAGCATGCAGTGGTTTCTCTCTCCAGCTAGTATGCCACCGCAGGATATATGCATGCGGCAGGGGAAGGATGAGAGGATCCATTACATGCGGCAGGAGAAGGATGAGAGGATCCATTACATGCGGTAGGGGAAGGATGAGAGGATCCATTACATGCGGCAGGAGAAGGATGAGATGATCCATTACATGCGGCAGGGGAAGGATGAGAGGGTCCATTACATGCGGCAGGGGAAGGATGAGAGGGTCCATTACATGTGGCAGGGGAAGGATGAGAGGATCCATTACATGCGGCAGGGGAAGGATGAGAGGATCCATTACATGCGGCAGGGGAAGGATGAGAGGATCCATTACATGCGGCAGGGGAAGGATGAGAGGATCCATTAAATGCGGCAGGGGAAGGATGAGAGGATCCATTACATGCGGCAGGGTAAGGATGAGAGGGTCCATTACATGTGGCAGGGGAAGGATGAGAGGATCCATTACATGCGGCAGGAGAAGGATGAGATGATCCATTACATGTGGCAGGGGAAGGATGAGAGGATCCATTACATGTGGCAGGGGAAGAATGAGAGGGTCCTTTACATGTGGCAAAGATGAGATGAATCCATTACATGCGGCAGGGGAAGGATGAGAGGATCCATTACATGTGGCAGGGGAAGGATGAGAGGGTCCATTACATGTGGCAGGGGAAGGATGAGAGGGTCCATTACATGTGGCAGGGGAAGGATGAGAGGATCCATTACATGCGGCAGGGGAAGGATGAGAGGGTCCATTACATGCAGCAGGGGAAGGATGAGAGGATCCATTACATGCGGCAGGGTAAGGATGAGAGGGTCCATTACATGTGGCAGGGGAAGGATGAGAGGATCCATTACATGCGGCAGGAGAAGGATGAGATGATCCATTAAATGTGGCAGGGGAAGGATGAGAGGATCCATTACATGTGGCAGGGGAAGAATGAGAGGGTCCTTTACATGTGGCAAAGATGAGATGATCCATTACATGCGGCAGGGGAAGGATGAGAGGATCCATTACATGTGGCAGGGGAAGGATGAGAGGGTCCATTACATGTGGCAAGGGAAGGATGAGAGGATCCATTACATGCGGCAGGAGAAGGATGAGAGGATCCATTACATGCAGCAGGGGAAGGATGAGAGGATCCATTACATGTGGCAGGGGAAGGAAGAGAGGATCCATTACATGAAGCAGGGGAAGGATGAGAGGATCCATTACATGAGGCAGGTGAAGGATAAGAGGATCCATTACATGTGGCAGGGGAAGGATGAGAGGATCCATTACATGTGGCAGGGGAAGGATGAGAGGATCCATTACATGCAGCAGGGGAAGCAGCTATATACATATCCGAAAGTGTAAAATGGCTGCAGCAGCCAGTGAGAACTGAAGCAGCAGCATTTAGCAGGTATTTGACCCCTCTGACAAGAGGCATACCTGCAGCGGCCAGGGAGCAGTGAAGTTACAGCGTTTCAAGTCACTAGAACTTGGAAAGTGAGTATAGTGCCTCTTCTTTTACAAGGCCAGTCTTTTTTGTATTTGGCCCTTTAGTGACAGGGTAATTTTAACTACTTCCAGTCTAGGCCAATTCTGGCATCGCTCTCCAATATGTAAAAAACATAAATATATTTTGCTAGAAAACTACTTAGAACCCCCAAACATTATATATTTTTTTAATCAGAGGCCCTAAAGAATAAAATGGTGGGTGTTACATATTTTTATGTCACATGAACTTTGATGATGTCATTGACAATGAAGATGTCATAGCTGATGGTGTCATAGATATCATTGCTGACTATTATTATGTCATTAATGATCTCATAGCTGATGGGACATAAATGATGATGTCATAACTGACTCTGATAATGTTATTGATGATGTCATAGCTTACCATGATCATGTCATTGATAATGTCATGGCTGCTGCTAATGTCATAGCTGGCAAGACTTCACTGATGATGTCATAGCTGACTGTGATGATGTAATCAATGATGTCATGGCTGATGATGATGTAATTGCTGACAGGACATCATTGATTATGTCACAGCTGACAGGAAATTATTGATGATGTCATAGCTGACTGTGATGATGTAATCGATGATGTCACGGCTGATGATGTCATTGATGATGTAATAGCTGACTGTGTTCCAGGAACTGGATATCACAGGTCACATCCACCAGGCTTCCTGATCGCTTTGGAGAACCCAGTAAAAACGCCGCTGGTAGGGGGATGAGACCCTCTTCTGCCACCTGTAAATGTAACCTAGTGGCTTTATAGCCGCTAGGATTACTTTTACCTTGTAGGAAACCACTGGCTGAAAATAATTTGGCCATCGCTGCGACATACTGGTACATCACTGGACAGGAAGCAGTTAAACAACTTTGTTCTTACTGAGCAGGATAATGGACCAGGCAGGGTTCCTGTAAATCAGGACAGACAACGTACCTGTTTGTAACCCTCAACTAAAAGATTTCCTGTCATATCCACTAGGTTTGTGAAGGATGGCCTCTTCTCAAATTTCTCATCCCAACATTTCTGCATAATTTCATAGCTGAAAGAATTAAAGATGACCAAGCAGCAAGTAAGTAAAATCAAATGTTAAACTGATTATTAGCATTTAAAATACATTCCAGGTAAAGATGGAAATGAAATCTTAAAACTCAAAAGGGAGTCATCTCACTGCTGAAGAGGCCAAGATACTAGAAGCCAGCGGAAAATTCAACTCAATAATGTTCAACCACTACTTAGATATGAATTTTGGGTGAACTTGCCCTTTAGGCCTTGTAAACATAAGCATTAGCCAAATCAAATCATTTGTAAAGCCTTCTGCAAGCTTCTAAAGGCTTTGTTCAAGCCATTAACTCTTTTGTTGCCACTGGCATACAGTATGTCATATGCAGGCAGCAAGGGGGGGGTTACACACACTCCTGGCTGCTATAGCATTATAGGTGTGTGATTTTATATAAATTCAACAAGCTGACTGTCAGGTTTCAAATGGAAAACATTGGACAGCTGTACAGGACCCCGTGAAGTGCGCTGCCCCTTTCCTGCATGGCAGGTATTGCCAAACAGAGAGGCGGGAGACCAGCGGCATATGTTTTCTGACCTGCCCTAGCTAGTAAATACTCAGAAGTGATGTGTACTATATCATTTCTAGATTCTTCTGTCATTTTTCCCCAGCTGCTGTGCTGGGAAGACATCAGGGGTCTAACAGACTAATAGTAGTTTAAGTGTTTGTAAAGCCTGAAGATGTTTTACGTTTATGCATGCTACACATGAAGGTAAAAAAACCTTCTGTGTGTGTTGCCCCCCTCCACAGCCTCCCTAATACTCATCTGAGCTACATCTTAATCCAGCGATGTGCACAGAAACCTCGACTGTCCCTGGTCTCTTTCTTCTCATTGGCTGAGACAGCAGCGGGAGCTCCCACTGCTGTCAATCACAGCCAGTAATCCAACAAGGAGAGAGCAGAGGTGGGGTTGAGCCACAGCTCTGTGTGTCTTGTGAACATATAGAGTGGGGCTCAGGAGCGACCATGCACCAGTGCCCCCATAGCAAGTGGATTGCTATTGGGGGCACTGGTCAGGGGGGGGAGAAAGCAGGAGCACCAAGCCAGAAGCAAAAGTCATTGAGCAGGGCTGACAAAGCTTGGTTCAAGAAAGGTAATTTTCTGTACTTGTACTGCATCAACAGAGGATGCTTGAAGCTTGCCAAAAGCTTTGCAAATGCAAATAATTGATTTACACACTGCTGTTGTAGAAGATGAAGCCCACATGAACATGGCCTATGGTGGAACTCCAGACACAACTTTTTTCCTAGTTGTGGATAGAGTGGGGAAGGGGTAGAACCTCTACCTGTCACAAGAAAAGAGACAGAATCTTACTGAAGTGATAGTAATGTGATAGTAGATCTAACATTACAAATATTACTTCTACAGGTGTCCACATTGGGAGATTTCAATTTGTAATGCACTGCAGTGCATCTATATGGCATGAACAAGACATAGAAAAAACAATTGCTTTCTGCATGTCCCCATGTTGAACCTGAATTGAGTGGATCAGTGCAGCTTAAGGATCAGGGTGCAAATGTATCCCAAGGCTGGATTCACATTTATGCATTTTTCCTCTAATGCATTTTAAAATCAATACCAGGACATCAAAACACATGTCAACGTGCATCGGCGAGCATTAACGCCATTGCTTTGTTGTGTGTTGAAGTGCATTGTATGGGATGTCTACATGTGTCATAATGCACTTCAACGCATGTTGATGCATGTCACGGTGCCTTTACATGCATTGTGATGTATTGATATGTGTCATGATATGCGTTGACACTTCTTAAGCAATCCTTAAGCATGTGTTGTTGATATCAATGCAAAAATGTATCAGTGCTTGTTCATATCACAAGACACATAAAAACATACAGAAAATGCATTTTTAAATGTACTTTTTTTTCTGTACAGGCAACATCAAGTTATTGTTGTATTTTGATTGTGGTGATGCACATTGGTATGTTTTTATGCATTGTGCTGCATAAAGATTCAGCATGTCTGCATTTTTCCCCATGCACATCAACACACTTGCATGGTGTGAACAAGGTACAAAGAGATCAATTATTTTTTCAGTGTTGCATTCAGCCTGCGGTGATCAATGCAACTTAACAGAGCTGGCGTCAGCAAGCCCTGTGACAACTGTAACATTTTAGAATTCCTGTCACGGTCGTGTAAATAGAATTTAAGAGTGTATCTCCCAACAAGAACACAGAAAGAAATAAAGAACCCATTTTCAGCAGGCAGTCATTCTGTACAAGGTACATTGGTCAGGTTATTTTGACTCACATTTCCTCTGAAGAAGCGTAAGAAGGTCTTGACATCCGATAGCCTCTCTTTATAGCATTGTAAAACTGCTCATTCATTGGCAGCTCCGGGTAGGGCGTTCCACCTATAGAGATGATAAAAAGTTGGGTTCTTTATCAGGCTCAGACTGGGACAAAAAATAGACCCAGGCATTTTGGACTGAGCAGCCCAAAGCCCGGGGACCCTTTTCTCGGAGTCCGGTAGCGGAACGCCAGGACAATTTTATATTTTATTATTTTCTTACATTTTTGTGTAGGAAGAAAGGAAGGAGGGAAAGAAAGAGACAAAGGAAAGAAACGAAGTAGGGAAAGAAAAAAGAAGGAGGGAAAGAAAGAAAAGAAGAAGGGAAAAGATGGAGGGAGGGTAAATGCCCGGTGTGCCCTATGGCCAGTCCGGGCCTGTTCTTTATGACTGACAGGGTTCTGGAAACCTTTTCAAGCACTGAAAATATGTATAAAATGCTCTCTGATTAAAAGTTATAGAATAACTTTAGCGAGATTAAAGTATAATAAAAGGGCAAAATACTTACCTTTCCTATAGAAAATTTTGTTCCAAGCTCCCTCCAGTACTAGTTATGGGACCAAAAGTCTAGGCAAAAGGCCATGTGACCTCATCTTAAAGGGAGGTTCTAATGTCAAAAAAGCTGGTCCTCTGTTTCAGCAAACATCATGTGCCTAAATGCCTAGACATTTGGTAATGCCACAAGAACTAATCTAAAGCCCTGTACATACGATGAGAATATCAGACAAATGATCATCGTTTTTTTTTTTTTTTGCATGCTAGTCTCATAGAGAAGAGGTTACTAAAGTTATTTAAATTTTTGTACTACAGAATAAAAATCCGAAAGTGATGTAATGTATTTGTATTGTATTTCTGGAAGAAAACTGTACTGATTAATCACTTGCCCTCCTGAGGATTTATCCCCCTTCCTGACCAGGCTATTTTTTGCTATACGCGCTGCGTTACTTTAACTAACAATTGCACGGTCATGCAACACTGCACCCAAATGAAATGTATGTCCTTTTTTCCCCACAAATGGAGCTTTCATTTGGTGGTATTTAATCACCTCTGAATTTTTTTTATTTTTTTGCACTATAAACAAAAAATGATTGACAATTTTAAGAAAAAAACAATATTTGACTTTTTGCTATTAAACACGTCCAGTAAAAACATTTTAAAAATCTAATTTTGTCATAAATTTAGGCCAAAATGTATTCTGCTCCATGTCTTTGCTAAACAAAATTCCAAAACGTGTAAATTAATTGGTTTACATGAAAGTTATATTGTCTACAAATGGCGGTATATATACTGGAATTTTTTTTTTGTTATATACTAGTAATTGCGGCGATCAGTGACTTATAGCGGGACTGCAGCAGGCTTTCTGGCACTGCGGGGGGGAACTGACTAACTGTCACTGACATCCTCAGTGACACTAATACAGTGATCAGTGCTAATAAAAAGCATTGACACTGTATTAATGACACTGGGCAGAAAAGGATTAACATCTGGGGTGATCAAAGGGTTAACTGTGTGCTGTGTACTGTTTTACTGTGTGCTGTGTGTGTGTTTTACAGTGTAAGCACATTGCTTTGTATTGCTCTGCTATGCAGAGCAATACTAAGCAGTGTGCTGGAGTTGACAGGGGAGAGATCTGTATTGTTTACATACAGACCTCTCCCCCGTCAGTGATACTCGGTGATCACAGGGTGCCGGCGGGGAATCACTGGCCGGGACCCGGTGATTGACAGCTGAAGCCGCCAATGGCGGTGCGGATGGGGCTGTTATATTATTTCTGCTATAGGGTGGCGGGCAAGCGGTTAAGGGACAATCATATGATCTAGTATTGTACAAGAAAAATATTCGTGCTTGTACCTAGGAATAATTTCGGACAAAAGCTGTGTACTAATGATCAGTATATCGTATGATCGCTTTGAAAGCAGCATTTTTCGTACAATTTTCTGATCATGTGTACTAGGTTTAAGTCTGCATCAGCATGTTCTTCTCCAGGAAAGTACTTCTCGTAATCTATTTTCTTCTAGCAAAACTGTGAATAAATATTCAGGTTAAATTAAATCTATAGTAATAGTACCTAGTGTTCAGGCCAGCCAATCAGCAGCTCTGTCTTTACACTGATCCTCCCCTTCAGAGTCATGTCATTCACTCTTCTTTATAGGAATAGAAAATTCACTTAGCAAAAGACACAGGAAGCCCAGTGGAAAGAGCGAGAAGTCGCAGTCATGGTTGTACTATGGTTGGACAGACAGCTCATTTCCAGATTCACAAATGGATTTGAAGGTTTGTTGGGGAGAGAAAAATTCCCCCCTTCACCTAAAACAGACAAATCTACTTTGGGTAGAATTTTATTTTATAAAAGTTAAAATTGCCAGTTTCTGGGGAAACCGCTTTTTTCCATGTATCCAGAGGGGAATTTACTAAGGATGGAGCAGGGAGAATCTGAAACAGCTGTGTTTAATAACCAATCAACTTCTAATTATTGTTTTCAAAGTTCAAAGTGGTAGTCAAGGCTAATATTAGCTATTCTTAAAAATGTTCCCTCCCCTGCCTCTTACCTATCCTGCATACTCTTTATAAAAAAAGATCTGTGTACTTACCTATTTTTAATCTGCGATGGTCCGGTCATATCATCCTGCAGCTCCAGCTCCCCTGTGTAAGGAAGCGCTCGATATCGGCTGTGAATTCCTAGAGCCGCAACATCACCCATGACCCAGCTGTTGTTGGCACTCCCTCTCCCCTGCAGCAGCTGTGCATTGGCATAGAGAAGATGGAACTGCAGGATTACATGACCAGACCAGAGTGGATTCAAAATAGGTAGGCACACACAGGGTATGCATCATAGATAGGTGGAGGGGGGAAGGAACATTTTTAGGAATAGTTAGTATTAGCCGTATCTTCCACTAACCAAACTGAAGATTGAAGCAGACTGGATACTATGCACAATTGCTCCAGATTCCGAGTGCTCCATCTTTAGTAAATTTTCCCCAATATTTCTTTAATCGTATCACTGTATGGTAATTGTTAGAAATTCAGGGCCCATTCACACTTATGCATTGTACATGCTAAAACATTAATGCACATTGACACAACACATGGAAGCACACCTGCTCTATGTGTGCTGCATTGCAGTTCCATTTATTGTGAATGGCATCCTATGCAATGTACAGTAAAGCATGGTCAACTGCAGCACATCACAATGCCTATACCGTGGGTTTTGGTCTACTTAATTTTGAAAAAATGGTCCTGCACATTTTTTCAAGTAATGTAAGGCACAGCAAGACAAAGGATCACTGTTGCTTTTTTGGGAGAGGGAGGTGGTACCCTTTCATGTTATGACAGGGCCCAATCAAATGGGATACTTCCTCTATTCTTTTATTTTCTTTATAGCTTTGAACTTGTGCATGATTAGATTTCCCCTTCTCTACCATACCACCAATAAAAGGATATGAAGTGAGAAAAAAAGTGTTTTTACTTTATTGTTGAAGTTTTTCTGAACATGCTAGTTGGCTGGCTGTCTCTGGATCCAGTATGTAACATTTAGCTGGAGAAGGAATACATATCTAGAAAGCCTGAATTCTTATTCCAAGTAGTATTTTAGAAGGAAAAGTTAAGAATGGAGCATAAAAAAATTTCCTTTAAATTCAGTAAACATTTTTCATATTTCTTTAAGTGTGGTGAAATACAACACAACGCCTGCTTCAAAGACATATTAAGGTCAAAGATTCACACACAATTCATACCTAAAGTGAATATTTCCCAAAGGAGGATTCCAAAAGACCACACATCACTGAGAGTCGTGTACAGGTTGTTGAATATACTCTCTGGTGCCATCCATTTCAGAGGAAGGAAAGTCTGGATTAGAAGAAAGTAGATGTTAGCTTACTTGTCTATTGGCATACTATTATATAAATTTATTGGTGACTGGTTGTTGGAGTGTGCAACATGTCAATTTAAATTTACTAGCCGATAACTGCACAGGCACATTGCCATGCTGTACCCTACAATGCTAGTGAAGCTGCATTTTTAAGTCTTTAAATGGATCGTTTCAAACATAAAACTTTATGAAATTAGAATGCACTGTATAATTCCAAACTTCTGCTTTAACTCAGCACTAAGTAATTGAGATTGGCTATGTGCAAATCTTGTGGTAAGGAAGAGGCAGAGAAGGCTTGTATAAAGCTATTACATAATGTATTGTCTTATATTTTCCAAATTTATTTAAAAAAGTGAACAAATAGTTAAAGTGTATCTAAAGCCAAAACTTTTTTTGTTTTCTATATAGAAAAACCCTGTTGAGATTAATTTGCCCTGCAGATAAATTCCAGACTTCTCATACAGCCTCTTAATAATGATAGAAATAAAAATGCAGTATTTTGCTTACTATTATGATAAAGACCTTTACAGGAATTGTGACACGAACCACCTGGCACCCCGACTGGGTGCCTCTGTCAAACAGTGCTTCTTGCCTTCCAAACCCTTCCAGCAGACTGATAGCTAATACCAGTCCTTTACCCCAAGCATCATACACAGACAAGATGTTGAGGTAAAACCAAAGGAATAACTGTTTATTAAAACCCAGACACCTACTTTATACCCCCAGGAGGACATTCCCCTTTAAGATGTTAGTATAGATAAGATAAGATGTACAACCAGTAAAAACATGACAATGCAACCTTTAAACATTAATCTAATTAACAGCTAGGCACCTAGACAAGTCTTATTAGTATGGCTAGTAGTCCCAGGAATTCCCTAGCCTGCCTCCCTTGTCTATGTGCTGGAAAATATGTCCACAATGAGTTTTGATTAGCCAGGGTGTATCCACCAGGATGCCCAGAAACATACAGTGCCTACATACAGTTCTACAGCTATACAGATATATAAAGTACATTACACTACTCATTTCTAAATGTCCCACCCCAAATCCAGCTTGGATCTAGGTTACCAAGTGGCACATAATAAAAAAAAATGAAAATATTATTAAAAGTTAATAATATAAAATTGGTAGTAGCCAGGGTAAAATGGGAAAATGCTGCAGTATGCAGTTCTTGAGGACCACCTGGGGCAAGATAAGAAAAATGCCCAAGAAGAGTTCAATATCCCCTGAAGGTGAGTCTACACAATCTGTCCGTCAAAATGTTCCTGCAGACGCACCACTGTTCTGGGGACTTCCTGGCCACATAATCCTGGTATATACTCCCGGACGAAAGGTTTCGGGACTTGGCTCCAGGGCCATCTTAATAGCATCAAGGGCCCCTAAGCAAAGCAATGCACTTGGTCTCCTAACAACTTGCTCTAATTTATGCATGTACTATCAAGAATGAAAGTATAAATTCATGACAGAATTAAACATACAGTATATTTATTAGTACTTTACAAAAAACTTTATTTTAGACACTAGGACAACATGCCATAAATCAAGGAATAATCAACACAAAGGACACAGTACGGGGGGGGAAGGGGGGTGGTTGGGCACAATACTGGGATCAGGAGAGCACAGTACAGGGACAGTCAGGAGGGCACAGTACAGGTTCTGGGACACTGCCCTGGCGTTTCCGGGATAGCTTAGTAAACTGGGTGACTGTCCCAGTAAATCCAGGACATTTGGCAAGTATGATGTAATGCATTATCATGGGCCCCCATGCACCTGGGGCCCCTGGACAGTGCCCATGCATTAAGTCAGCCCTGCCTGGCTCTCCTCCAACCGGGAGAAGCAGACAAAATCCCCGGTCTCCTCCATGGACCATATTCAGTGGGTAGAATGCTAGCCCATAGTCACCTCCAAAAGCCCCTGTCCCAGGTGGGCCTCTCACAGGAATACTTACATTGCCTTTGGAAATATAGTTGGAGTCTCTGACGATGTCTCTGGCTAGGCCAAAGTCACAGATCTTCACCAGTTTTCCCTCACAGATCAGGACATTCCTTGCAGCCAAATCACGATGAACACACTGCAGATTGATTTACAAGAGCAAATATTTATTATTCAATTCTTATACCCTAATGCTGCACACTTGAAAAAGTCAAACGTGGCCATAGTGATCTGTTGGCTCTGCGGGTGGATTGAAATCATGTACTCAAGAATAATTTGCTTGTATACTGAATTTTCATTCATATGAACAGCCTTCCGCTTACAGGGATAGAATGAGGACAATACATACAACAGAAGCCAACAGGAGAACATGTTGATGGTGTCTTTCGAGCATTCAGGCTATAAAGCCAGTATTAGCAAGTAGGTGATTTGTACCGGATATTGGTTGAACTCTGTGAATGAATGGAGCTCCATGTTTTTGTATTACTGGCATGCAGAAAACACCCAAGTTTACAATTTATGTTTGGGTGTCTCTAGCCATAATTTGGGTGTGTGTAGGGGACTGGGAGAATGAAGCATAAGTTAGGCCGGTATGGTATAATCAATTCCTCGTAGATAGATGACATGCCGTGTTTTATTATTATTTTGGTCCAAGAACACTGGAAATTATATAAAGTATATGAATTTCTCTTCTGCTCCACAACATAGGGGTAAGGTGTTCTAGAGTCCACATAGAGAGGGCTGATAACATTGTTAGAGATTTTAGTGGAGCATTATCAGCTTACTACTGGAAGTGAAGACCTCACTGGATTTCTTGCAGGATCAACAGGTATGTTTTGCATTTATTGTACAGCACGGGTGAAAAACTGGTGACCATCCAGCTGTTGCAAAACTACAAGTCCCATCATGCCTCTGCCTTTGGAAGTCATGCTTGTAACTGTCAATCTTGCAATGCCTCATGGGACTTGTAGTTTGGCAACAGCTGGAGGGCCACCAGTTTGACACCCGTGCTTTACAATAAACGCAAAACATGCCTGTTGATCCTGCAAGAAATCAAGTGAGGTATTAACTTCCAGTAGTGAGCTGATAATGCTCGACTAAAATCTCTAACAATGTTATCGGCCCTCTCTCTGTGGGCTCTAGAACACCTCACCTCTATGTTGTGGAACAGAAGAGACAGAGAAGTATTGCCATAGAACAAGCATGTCACCAGTGAAGTCAGTGTGGAGTCCTGATATTCTTACTGGTCTTGGGTTAGTGGCTAACAGCATAAACCATTGGTTCTTCACCAGTCAGCTAGCATTTTTAGAAGACAACGTCAACAATGCCAGTCTATATGTTACATCAGTACAGGTTCTCTTTATGACTGTAATTTTATAGATAACGCCACTAAAGAAAATGGTAAGTAAAAAATAAATATGCAAATAAATGGCAATGGGCAGTCTGTCACTCAAACAGATGGACACAATACTACAAGTCAGTAAATGCACTAATGTGAAGTTTAAAGAGAAGTGAAAAAACTTACATTCTTTGAGGCAAGAAATTCCATCCCATTAGCAACTTGGTAGCTAAATCCAATTAAATCAGTATAACTGAGGACTGGTGATTCATTTATTAAGGTGGAATAATTGGTCCTTTCATGAGCTTCATGAAAAAAGAAAAATATAATTAGTTTGTTATTTCATATAAAAAAAAACTGATGTAAGGATCCAATTTAGATGGCACATGTATAAGACGAGAGAAGTGTGCGTCTCTCTGTAAAATATGGATTTCATAGTGTAATGCTTTAAGTGAGCCTGGTAATCATGTTAAACTTTTAGGGCTGATTTACATCTATGTGTTTTGGCAATGCACCCTATATACATTGACGCATTGCAGTGTCATTCATTTTGATTAGCACCCCAACACGTCAAGAAAACACACATGCATTGCAACACTCTACAATGCATGAAATTGCAGATCAGATTGCTTTGCGGCAAAAATTCTATGACATATCCAGGGCGGACTGACAACTCATGGGGCCCACAGGCAATAGGGGATCATGGGGCCCCTGTGTCCTAGCCCAAACTTAAAAAATCCTATAAAAAAAGGTCAGAGGGGCATCTCATAGGGCCCCCTACTGACCCCGGGCCCTTGGGCAGCGCCCGAGTTTCCAAATGATCAGTCTGCCCCTGGACATATCCGATTTTTGGGTTTGTGTTGGTGCATCTGAAGCCTATTAATTTCAATGGTCTGACTTAGTGCAGCGCATGTTACCACGTAACAAAAAGCACTCTGATACACATGCATTACCGCACTGCAAAAATGTGAATGGGCTCTAAAAGTCGTCAATAAGATCAAAAACCACAAGGGGACCTTAATTAGCCAAAAAAACTCTCCCTTGTGTTCCTTTTTTATAAATGAACTCCAAGCAAAATATATATAAAATACGCATACTGTATTAGAGATGTTCTACCTGCCAAAAGAAGTATTTATTTCTAAGTCCTAAGATTTACAAAGCCCTGCTGTAAAGTGCAGTCCTGTCTGGTAGGGTAGGGGAATCCATTTTCACTGCTGAAGTTCAGTAAGGCTCCGTTCACACCTATGCAGTTTGATTTTGTCCATTTTGCAGTGCTTTTCGCAGTTCGTTTTTCTATATGCGTTTGTGACGCGTTTTTGTTGCATTTTTGATGCGTTTTGTTCAGCTTCTTTTTTTATAAGGTGAAATTTTTTTTGGCTGGGTAGAATAAAAATGAAAAACACGGCAAATACGTGCCAAAAACACACTACCATGCATTTCAGCAGATTCTCCATTAAACTCTATTGTAGCAAAAATGCTGCTTTTTGCTTTTAAAAAAATTCCCTGACCCTTTCCAAATAGCAGCAGCTCAAAAATGCATAGATGTGAATATGTTCCATAGGAATACCATGTTAAATGGATTGTAGTGCATTTCTGCAAAAAGCACTAAATCCACATAGGTGTGAATGGAGACATACACTTACAGGTCTTGTCCCTTCAGCAGCCTGTGACTGACAGTGAAAGGAGAACTAGCACACTGAAGAGCTCATATCTCTATCACTCTGCTCTAAAAGCAGGCTTCTTGCATTACAATACAACTGATAGGCTGCTTGTGCTGCTTCTTCCTCCCCAGTCTGTGCTCTGCTGTACTGAGACTGCAAGATGCTGATACTAAGGTAAATTCAAATATTTACACTACTTGCATCTAATAAATGCATTTAATAATGTACTGTATTAATAAATACGGAGCTGTTTTAATTTGTGTCTGAAATTTAGCTTTACACCTGTCCAGTGAGAGTACATCAGTGGCCACTAATGGGCGCCGTAGACAGGACGAAAATCGGCTGATTTTTTTACCGTTGGTGGTAATGTCGGCCGATCAAACGACCGATTTTTCGTTTTTTTTTTTTTTAAAAACATCCGGTTTTTGACCCATCTATGGCCTACATAAGGCTAATCTAATTGGATTTGAGGGATAGCAGTTAGTGCTAATTGATGAATTAGTCAATTGAACACTTTTTGACTGCACCAAAAATATATATTCATGTAGACAGGGCCAGATTTACCATTATGCACAGTAGACTTCTGTCTATAAAAGGCAAGGGAAAAGATGTACTAATAAAAAAAATAATTTTTATGTAATTTAAATGATCACACATTATCATAGTACTTGGCAGCAAACAAAACAAAAAAATGTTTTGTGTAAACGAGGTCACCCTAGTAGAGGGCTGTTACCTGGGGTAACATGAATATACTTAGACAAATCAAAATGTCTGCAGTTCACTGATTTAGGAATTGATTTGTGGATGCCTTATGCCAGGGTTCAGTTGCCTGACTGTATTCTTAGAATTTTGTCGGACTTATGGCGGCCATACATGGGTCGAAATTTGACCGTTTTTCGTCCGAAAATCGGATCTAAGAATAATCGGCCAATTTTTCTCTGTTAGTGGGTCAATGGCATTTTAGTGGTTCCTCCCCTTTTCAGTGAGTGGGCACTTTGGAAAAAACAACTGATTTTTGACTCAATGATGGTCAAATCATACTATCATTTTTCCGAAAAGAATATGCGCATGAGCAGTGACCTGGAAGGAACAGAAGTTTCACCTGTTATATGGGGTGAACTTTATGACTTGGTCGGCCAATTTTAGAAATCATTGATGGCACCATCAGATTACTGAGCGCGAACTACGTTTTTGATTTTCAGATGAAAAATCGTTCGGAATTCGACCCATGTATGGCCTGTATTAGAGAAGTGGTCTCCAAGCTGCAGCCCGTGGGTCCAATGTGGCCCTTTGCTTGCTTTCATCCAGCCCTTGGGGCACTATTTCATCCACTAACACCAAAGAAGGGATACAATTCCTACCAGTGACTCCGATGATGGGGCACAGTTCATCTCAATGATACCAACAATGGGGCCCAATGACACTAATGTTGGGGCACAATTCCTCCCAATAACACCATCGATGGGGCACAGTTCCTTTCACAGTCCCATTGCGATCCAGCAATGTGAATGTCCCGGGTCTCTGCTTCCTCATTGGCTAAGACAGCAATGGGGGATTGTTTACTCCCACTGATGCCATGACATTTTCCACTCCCGATGGCCATGGTCCGGCCCTGCTAAAGACTGAAAGGACAGTAAACTGGCCCTTTGATTATAAAGTTTGGAGACCCCTGACTTAGAAGAATAGGTCAAAACTCTAGTAATGGATGGCTCTGCCAACTGCTCATTCAACATTCAGCCAATCAAAAGCAGGCACTGTACAATGTCCAGCTGTCAGAATACAATAGCCTGACAGGAGAGATTTTCCCATCTAGGCCATTTTTGTGGAATCTGAATTTTTTTTGGCCTGCAGACTGAACAAAAAAAATGTATTAATGTATGGCTAGCTTTAGCAAGTCAAACCCTTATTAAATGGGTACAGGTAATAGCAGGCAGGGGTTGTGTTTTAAACAAAAATGGATGACAGATTTACTTTAAAAATGTTTGTCTTTTTTTTAACCTAGAACTTAATTATCAATCTTGGATGGACTGACCCTTTAAAAGATAAACTCCAGGAAAATGCATAGATAAAATACATATGTGGGAGCTGTTTTACCTGCTGAAGGATTTGTATTTCTGTCCATACAGGCATGAGATTCACACAGCTGTACTGTCTGTTTGGCCTACATTTTCCACTGCAGTAAAGTAGTAATATTTATACATACAGTATTTTCTGGCCCCTGGTTTGTGACTGGGCAGTGAAAAAAGATGTAACAAACTGGTGAGCTCATCTTTTTGTCACTCTGCTCTCTCCTCCTATCAGCATGTTCATTGTCAATACATGAACACTGTGACTTGCTCCTTCTCCTTCCCCAGTCTGAACTCTGCTGTACAAGGATTGGCAAGAGGCTGCTACCAGGTAAAATTCAGGCACTTACACTGCTTACATATAGGGCCATTTCACACAACAAAAATGTATTCCGGATGCATTCCGGATACGTTTTTGCTTACAGTTCACACCAACAGCTCCGGTGCAGTTTTGATGCAGTTTGCTACGTTCCAGTGTGGTTCCGTGCAGAAAAAATGCAGCATGTTCTACTTTTTTTTTCCTGCATCGGAAACTGACTGCACTAGTGTGAACCAGGGCCATTTGAATACATGGAAACCACTGTGCATCCATTTTTGATGCAGAAAAAAAAGCGCACTGAACTGCATCTAGTGTGATCTAGTGCTGTATTAGGGTCAGTTCACACTACAAGAATGCACTCTGGATACATTTTTGCTTACAGTTCACACCGCACGCAGTTCCGGCGCAGTTTTGATGCAGTTTGCCATGTTCCAATATGGTTCTCTGCAGAAAAAATGCAGCATGTTCTACTTTTTTTCTCTGCATCGGAAACTGACTGGAACTGACTGCACTGGTGTGAACTAGAGCCATTGGAATACATGGAAAACACTGCATGCATTTTTGATGCAGAAAAAAATGCACTGAACTGCGTCTAGTGTGAACCAGCCCTCAATGAATACATAGCTGCATTAGTTTGTGTCTTTTATATTTTCTTAGAGTTTTTCTTCAAAATGTCCTTCTTCTGGTTCATTGCAATGCATAAACAATTCTTGGAAAAAAAAAACTTCCTGAAATATGGTCTGTTTTGACTAAGAAATATAGAGCTCATAGTATATGTAAACTTGTGGGTTTTAAACGTGCGGTTTTATTTGAAGAAGCTCAATTTCCACTGACCGGAAGTGGAGTAACTCTCCAGCTCATATGTGGTTCCATAACCAGATGGCTCAATCTCTGCATATTTAATGTCTTCTTTGAGGTCCAGCATAGGTACATAGTAGATATCATCTTTGCTCATGTCCATGTAACCTCCATCACTGTCTACCGGGATTGAAAAGTGGCTGGAAAGTATAATGATAAAGCATGAAAAATATATATATATGAAATGTTAATGTAAAAAGCAGAGACTTACATTTCATTAAATAAAAAGGTTAACTGTATATGATAAACAGTGCATAAGCACACTAGCAGGTCTGTTTTTTCAATATTTTTTTACCAAAGTTTCACACAATTTTCACCTAAGATTGACACACTATTCACATAAGCTTCAATTAGAAAGATATATCAACTCTGCAAAAGTTGCTGGAATCTTAGGTAAAACATTTACAAACAGACCCATAAATGTCACTCAGTTTGAGTTTTCTTCTACTTTAAATACAAACCAATAGGCTGACCCTACTGCACTTAAGGAATGGATCACTTCTGCTGTGTGTGGAACAGAAGTCCAGAAAATTGCAGGCAAAGAATGTCACCAGTGTTGCCTATGATCCTTCATCTGATTTTTTTCCCCCCATTAAATGTAGTTATTTAAATGAAGAATATTTAGTTATACAAAAATGTTATAACAAAATGATCAACATGACATGTAGTTATAAAAAAAAATGACTATATGTAGTTATAAAAAAATGATCAACATCAGAATATGAGTTATAAAAAAATACTTGAATATGTAGTTGTAAAAAAATGATCAACATGAATGAATATGTAGTTCTAAAAAAATGATCTCAGGACTAACAATACTTTTTGTTAGGTAAATATGTCAGGTCTGGTATGGATTTTGATAAGAACCATCATGCAGAGTCACAAAATAAAAAAAAAATGGAATGGGGTCTCCCCCAAAATTCATACCAAGAACATTATCTCAGCGTGCAGGTCAGGAAAGGGGGGGGGGGACATGCGAGCACCCCCCTTCCCTCCTGAACCATACCAGGCCACATGCCCTCAACATGGGAGGGGTGCTTTTGGGGCAGGGGACATGGGCTTCTTCCCCACAACCCTGGTTGGTGGTTGTGGGGGTCTGAGGGTGGAGAGCTTATCAGAATCTGAAAGTCCCCTATAACAAGTGGTCCCTCAGATCCAAGCCCCCCCACAAGAATTAGTATGGGGAACATGGTACCCCTACTCGTTCACCCAAAAAAACACAGGAGGCAGTTTTTGACAAGTCCTTTATTAAAAAAACAAAAATAAAAAATGTTGACCCCCCCCCCCAAAAAAAAAGGCTCAGCTTCCAATGAAGGCTCCCACCGCCTGACAGCTCTGCCGCTTGAGACTTCAGGGGATGGGGTCCCCCAGTGTACCAAAGGAAAACAACACATACAATTGAGCGCAGAGAGGCCACTCCAGGTGGAAGCATGTGAACGGTTGATCATGAGCTCACCACTGCTGCCTTGTTAATCATTTACATGATGAAGAGAACTGAAAACTTTCCACAGCGCCTATTCTTTTCAGTTTTCCCCCAGTGTACCATATACCCCATACTCATTCACATGGGGGGGGGGCTGGGATCTTGTTAAAGGGGGCTTCCAGATTCCAATAAGTCCCCCACCAAATCCTCGCAACCACCGGCAAGGGTTGTGGGGAAGAGGCCCTTGTCCCCATCAACATGGGTGCTCTGAAGGGGGAGGGGGACAGATTCCGTCTGGATATATCTGTTGCTCCCTTGCTGATCAGAGCAGAGTGGATGAATGACAGGTCTGTGTTTGCTCCATTGATGCAGTGCGGACACAGACAAAGCCTGCTCTGTTTTATGGACCAGCGCCAATTTAGTTTACACTCGTCGGTCCATAGAAGTGAATGGACCATCCAGGGGCAGACTGCCCATTTGGAAACTCGGGCACCGCCCAAGGGCCCGGGGTCAGTAGGGGGCCCCATGAGATGCCCCTGGTACCTTTTTCATAGGCTTTTTTGAGTTTGGGCAAGGACACAGGGGCCCCATGATCCCCTATTGCCCGGGGGCCCCATGAGTTGTCAGTCCGCCCCTGGGACCATCCGATCAGGCCCACCTGAAAAACTGACAGATGGACCTGATTGGACCGTTCACGTGACAGGGGCTTTTAGTATATTGCAAATTAAATATAAAACATCTAAACTCATATCTGTGTCCACTAGTATGAATGATGAAAGTGTAGATTACCTTGACATCCTTTCTCCCGTGGAGGTGTTACTGTAGACTTCATTCTCTTTCCTACTTTTGTCAGCATAGTACTGCAGGAAGGTGTGTTTGTTTCTGTGTAAATAATCCACCAGGTCTCCAAATCTGCAGTATTCTGTCACTATATAGATAGGTCCTGGTAATGCAAGAAATGATACATCTTAGTTAGTCTGATATAACATATATGGCAAAGGAATCATCGTGCATACAGTGAAGGAAATAAGTATTTGATCCCCTGCTGATTTTGAATGTTTGCCCACTCACAAAGACATGATCAGTCTAAAAATCGAATGGTAGGTGTATTGTAACACTGAGAGACAGAATAGCAACAAAAAATTCAAAAGAAATGCATGTCTAACAAATTATGTACTGATTTGCATGTTCATGTGGGAAGAAAGTATTTGATCCCTTTCACAAAACATGACTTAGTAGTTGGTGGCAAATCCCGTGTTTGCAATCACGGAGGTCAGACGTTTCCTGTAGTTGGCCACCAGGTTTGCACACATCTCAGGAGGGAATTTGACCTACTCCTCTTTTGCAGATCCTCTCCAAGTCATTAAGGTTTGGTGGCTGATGTTTGGCAACTCGAACTTTCAGCTCCCTCCACAGATTTTCAATCGGATTAAGGTCTGGAGACTGGTTAGGCCACTCAAGGACCTTAATGTGCTTCTTCTTGAGCCACTCCATTGTTGCTTTGGCCGTGTGTTTTGGGTCATTATCATGCTGCATTATCATTTTCAATGCCCTGGCTAAGGGAAAAAGGTTCTTACCCAAGATTTGAAGGTACAGTGCCCGTTCATTGTCCCTTTGATACGGTGCAGTTGTCCTGTCCCCTTAGCAGAATGTTTCCACCACCATGTTTGACAGTTGGCATGGTGTTCTTGGGGTCATATACAGCATTTCTCCTCCTCCAAACATGGCGAGTTGAGTTGATGCAAAAGAGCTCGATTTTGGTCTCATCTGACCACAAAACTTTCAACCAGTCCTCCTCTGCATCATTCAGATGTTCAGTGACAAACTTCAGACGGGCCTGGACATGTGCTTTCTTGAGCAGAGGGACCATGCGGGCACTGCAAGATTTCAATCCTTGTCGGCGTAGTGTGTTACCAATTGTTTTCTTGGTGACTCTGGTCCCAGCTGCCTGGAGATCATTGACAAGATCCTCACGTGTAGTTCTGGGACGATTCTTCACTGTTCTCATGATCATTGATACTCCACGAGGTGATATCTTGCATGTGGTGCACAACACCTAGGGAGACCGAAATTGTTTTGTGTTTCTTCCATTTGCAAATGATTGCACCGTTGTCACCTTCTCACTAAACTGCTTGTTGATAGTTTGGTAGCCCAGTCCAGCCTCGTGTAGGACTACAATCTTGTACCTAACATCCTTGGACATCTTTGTCTTTGCCAGGGTGGAGAGTTTGGAATCTGATTGTTTGACTGCTCCTGTGGACAGGTATCTTTTATACAGGTAACAAAATGAGATTAGCAGCACTCCCTTTAAGAGACTGCTTCTAATCTCAGCTTGTTAGCTGTATGAAAGACACCTGGTAGCCAGAAATCCTGCTGAATGATAGGGGATCAAATACTTATTTTCCTCATTAACATGCAAATCAGTGCATAATTTGTTAGACATGCATTTATTTTGAATTTTGTGTTGCTATTCTGTCTCTCAGTGTTACAATACACCTACCATTCAATGTTTAGACTGATCATTTCTTTGTGAGTGGGCAAACATTCAAAATCAGCAGGGGATCAAATACTTATTTCCTTCACTGTATCTAGTCCCCATTACCCTTTGTTTTACCAATCTTGCTTCAATAACAACATGGACTTTGTAACTTAGATTCAAATTGCCATTTCAGCCTTTAATAAAAAGATATCCATTTACAAACCTTTCTTGCCTGTAGCAAGCAATTGAAGTTTACTTACTCAAACAACTCATCCCTACACAGTTACTACATTTTGTGGCACTTCTATTTACATTGTAAGCTCTCGCAAACAAAGTCCCACCCAGCGCTCTTGACTTGACATATATTGTAACTGGATTGTCTCTCTTTATTTTGTAAATGTCTGTGAAAACTCTTGGTGCTACTTAAATCCTGCATAATAATATTAAGGTTAGTAAGAATGTGTGTGCCCATGTGTTTTGTTTAGGCATGTGACTTATTTTTTATTGTGTTTTTCTTATTTTTGCATGCTTTCACACATTAACTTTTTTTTAATAATATATAATTCATTCATTTTTCCTACACCTACAATGTTATAACTGAAACTATTAAAAAGTGCAACTTAATTGTAAACAGTTTTGTTCAAGAAATTCCAGCCATTCAGAATAAAGAAGCCTACAAGTGTATTTGACTGTCTGCACTGCAATACCAGATGCCACCAGCAGAGACAAATCCGTTATTGTATCTTGTGGTCAGGGTAAAACTATGTATCTATGGGATGAAAAAGCTCTTTCTAACACTATGGCTACATGTACAAGTGCGTATGTGGCAAATGAGGTTTAATGTTGATAAATGTAAGGCTATGCACTTGGGGGCTAAGAATATGCATGCATCATACTTACTAGGGGGAGTACAACTGGGGGAATCAATGGTGGAGAAGGATCTGGGAGTTCTGGTTGATCACAAGCTTAATAATGGCATGCAATGCCAAGCTGCGGTTTCTAAAGCGAGCAAAATCCTCTGTTGTATTAAAAGAGGTATAGACTCTAGAGAGAGAGATATCATATTACCCCTGTACAAATCATTAGTAATACCTCATCTGGAATATGCAGTTCAGTTTTGGGCACCAATTCACAAAAAGAACATTGGGGAACTGGAGAAAGTACAGAGAAGGGCAACGAAACTGATAAGAGGCATGGAGGAGCTCAGCTATGAGGAAAGATTAGAGGAACTGAATTTATTATCTCTTGAGAAGAGGAGATTAAGGAGGGATATGATCAACATGTATAGATACATCAGTGGTTCATATAGTAAACTCGGTGTAGAGCTATTCACCCTGAGGTCATCACAGAGGACAAGGGGGCACTCTATGTCTGGAGGAAAAGATATTTAATCTCCAAACACGGAAAGGTTTCTTCACAGTGAGAGCTGTGAAAATGTGGAATAGACTCCCTCAAGAGTTGGTTCTGGCCAGCTCAGTGGATTGCTTTAAAAAAGGCCTGAATTCTTTCTTAGATACACAGAATATAACTGGATACTAACATTTATAGGTAAAGTTGATCCAGGGAATATCCGATTGTCTCTCGGGGGATCAGGAAGGAATTTTTTTCACTGCAGGAGCAAATTGGATCATGGTTTGCTGGGTTTTTTTTGCCTTCCTCTGGATCAACTGTGGGTATAGGATTATAGAAATTTTTTTTTTTTTTATGGTTGAACTGGATGGACTTTTGTATTTTTTCAGCCAGACTAACTATGTAACTATGTATGAATTTATGCTCCATATATGCTGCCTGAAGTTGGCAGACAAATGCCTCTTATGTCGCATGTGAATGTCTGTTTATGCATGTTGACATGTATATAGTGTTTAGGAGTGTATAAGTGTAAAATTTATACTATTGGCTTGAATATTCATTTATTCTAGCCACAGTAATAAATTTATATGCATATGTGTGAGTTTATGTGTGTTTAAGCACATGTATGCATATAAAGGCATAAATTAAACTAACTAAAAAATTAAAAAAAGCTCTATAAAAACAAGTTTGGGGCATTTTTTAAATATAAATGCATATGCACATTAGATAACTTACAGCTGCTTTCTTGGGTGTAAAAAAAAGACAGACACCTTTAATAATGGTATTTTTTCTGTGCATGAGTTCTTAAAGGAGGCAACAAATCCTCCTTTAAGAGGTAAAAGTTTTCTGTGGAAACTTGCCTCTATTTGAACTAAGGTAATATTACCAAAGATGTATAGACTACTTTAGACAGTAAAGGAAAAACAACCATACAATATGAAATATGGAATATTTTCAGCTAAATTGTCAGAAAATGTCCACAATACGATACAATGAAAAAGCATCCTTAGGCTGGCCGTACATTATACAATTTTCTTGAGAAATTTGCTTTAGATTTACCAAAAACCATATAATATGAGGTCAAACCTAAATAATACTTTCATTTAGGCAAGCTCTTGAACTACATAGTTGAAGGTAAATCTAAAAGAAATTGGGCAGAAATTGGACAGAAAGTTGTAAGAAAATTATATAGTGTATGGCCAGCCTTACATCAATCAGAAGCAAGGGGAGAAATAATTTCAAGACAGACCCATCTAGATTTGTGGACCCAAAAGACATCACAGTCCCTTGTTTTGGTGTAGTAGATACAATATTTCTCAGGATGTTAAATGTTGTCTTTTCCAGTAATGGTCACATGAGTTTCTTATACATAAGCCCCATATTGGCTGGAGGAGGACCGCGGCCGACCGGGATGCCCCGCTCCAGAGGGGACGTAACCCCGCTCCAGAGGGGGCGCCACCACCTCCCCCGTCGGTACCCTCACCAGCCGCTCCGGAGGTCCTGCCATCGCCCAGGAGGGGTGATGGACGTCCTGTCCCCTGCGGCCTACCACTGCCTTCTAAGCCCCGCTGCTGCCCAACGCCCAAACCAGGACGCTGCCGTCCGCGCCAGCGAGAGGAGAGCTACCACCACTGCCTCCCCTACCTACAGCCACCGCAGAGAGGGAAGCAGCAACCACCCACCGAGAGGATAGGCCGCCACTGGCTCCACATCTGCTTCCCTGCTCCCCACCGTGTACCGCACAGTCGTGCCCCTGCCACCGCACAGCCCCGAGCCCTATCCAATCCGGCGGAGGCGAGCCTGCCATGTGGCCTCCAGCACCCCCTGACACCGGGCCATACAACACCTACGATCGCCGGATCCTACTGCTCCCACAGACGCTGGGCCCCTTAGCACCGTCATTCACTGGCCCGCAGCATCCACACGTACTGGCCCACGGCACCCACTGACGCCGGGCCCTGCTGCGCCTGCCAATGCCTAGCTCACTCCACCTCCAGACATCGGCCTACACCACCTCCAGACGTCGGCCTGCGCCACCTCCTGACACCGGGCCTTTGGCACTTCCTGATGCCAGGCCTTCGACACCCACTGACGCCGGGCCCTCAGCACCCCTT